GCATCTACCAAGGCCAGCCGAAAAGACCTCGAGGAAGGTTTCTTTTAATTCATTTCTTAGTTTATCTGACTGGGTTGTCAGATTTTGTATTTTCTGACAAAAAGTATTAATTGGCAAATTCCACAGATTGAACTGCTGCATCCAATCTGTGCCAAATAGATTGTCTGTGTTTTTTAACACAAACATTTTCAATTTTTTGGTTGTTCCATTCAAAGTAACGTTCACGATAATTTCACCCTCAAACTTAATATTTTTTATTGGTCACTGACCTAGCTATTTTGCTGGTTTTTAGCATGGTTGGTTTATTTAACCTTTTCCAAATATGTAGGTTGATTATTGATAAATCAGACCCGGAGTTTAATTGTAACCTGACTTTTTTTATTCAGTATTTCTATCTGCACATACTTTCTTATATTTTTGATGTCCAGTTCGTCTTTTTGTGATTCTAATCTGGCTTTATCCTTCTTTATTGGCTCTGCCATGTGAACTCTTGTGCCCAACTTTATTACAAGTTGGGCAGGTTTTAAACTGGTATTGGCAATCTTTAAACCAATGAAGTGCTCCACAACGGTAACATGGACCCGGCAGTAAAATTTTCTGTTTTTCATTGAGTTGACTTTTTTTCTTAGGAGAGTGAAAATAATCTTTTTTGGTTTGACCTGTTTTTGAAGGGGAGGAAAAATGTGGTTTTTGATGCATTTTTTCTTATGTGTGCAACGCCTGACTCTTCAATGTCTCTAGAATCATTTTTTACACTTATATATTTTTGGCAGTCCTCGGCTATAGTTTGTAAAGTTAAATTTGGTTCTCCCTCTAACATGGTTAGGACTCTACATCTAATTTCTGTATCTTCCGTTGTACGAAGATTAGGCATTTTAAATTGTCTGTGGTAAGTTTGGCCAATTTAAAATTGTCACAACGTTTGTTAACTACCGATGCGAACGTCGAGTAATCTTCGCTGTCTTTCTTGGTTAGGTTTAAACACTTCCACCTTTTGTGGAATGACATTTTTGGGCTGAATAATTCTGTAAGGAGATTTACAGCTTCAACAAAAGTCAAATCATTAGTTTTTCAAGGTAATATGTAGTCCACGAATTTACTATGTTTAGTAGTTCCTAATTTCCGGAGCAGTAGGCGTAGCTTTTTAGTGTCTGCCCATTTCCCACAATCTATTTAGAATAGATCCTCATACCTTCTGAAACATGAAGCGAAGGTTTTTTATCTTCATCTGGCGAATAAGTGAAATTGTCAATTGCATTCCAAATCGCGTTTTGTGAAAAAGTAGTTTCACTCTCGGTATTTTGACCCTTATTCGACACTGTTTGTAGAATCAATTCTTCAAACCTTTTCTGTTGTTCTATCATTTGTCGCTGTTATTTTAATTGTTCTTCTTTGTGCTTTCACTGTTCTTCTTCGTGTTTTTGCTGTAATTCTAATTGTTTTTCTTCGTTGTTGTTCAAACTGGACTCAAACCAATTCTAAAATAGTAGCTTTTAATCTCTTCCATGTTTTAATTTTCAATATTACACTTCTAATGTAATTTTAATTGTACCAAACCTTTGTGTTGCTCGGAGGGGAAGAGAAAAAAAACAAATCACTTTTTTTTCTCTTTAAATGTGTTATTCTCGTACACAGTAGTTTTTTGGACAACCACGAAATGTAAAGTTTATAACTTCAGCGCAATTTTTTCTCTTTTTTTTCCACTGATAAGCTAGTTTTTTAGACCTTTATTTTTTTTTTTTTTTAGTGGTTCTCCCATGGAGTTCATTAAATTCTCGTCGCCAGTGTTGTGGACCCAGAATATGTCCGCAAGAAAACTCAAACTCAGCAATTTAGTGAAAACATTATTAACAAAAAGAATGAATACAAAAATGTTGCACATCCGACTGACAGCAAAGTACAGTAGTCAACTCGTCAACTGTAGACAGCTCTCTTGAGAGGCATAATCTCTCCGTATATATAGTAATAGGACGAGTCCATTTAGTCCATAAAGGTAGGTCCCATAACATTGAGGTCCAGACCACTAAATGTTACACGACCGGGTGTAGGTGGCAACAAAAAGTGTTATAACAGGACAATAGGTAAACCTATATACTTTAGATATCCAAGGCAACAGTGAATGTCTTAACATGGTTTATAATACGTTATGTCTTATGAAGATTATAAAGTTTTTTTTTTAATCAATTTTTTCTATTGCCACTAAGATGCAAGGGGTAACTGGGAGTGAAAGAGACTGAGAAGACTTTAGAAAGAATCAGAAACTCGATCCAGGAAACAAGAGATAAACCCCTACTCCTGCTGAAAAGACCAAGGAGGAGTGTGAACTGGACAATAGGTGAACATATCCTATTGTTTATTTGGTTGTACAGAGTTTGGAAAAACATTAGTAGAAATTCGTATTTTTCTTCTATTTGTCACTTCAGGACATTGGCAATCATCACTCTTCATAATTTCCTGTCTTTTGTAACTCTTAGGAAATTTTGTCCTTTTGCTATCTCTCCTAAAAGATGTGCTGCTAGCCATCTATGCAACCTCGTTAGATAGGTTGCACACTGTTTTCCTGTCCCTCTTGCCTTTAATATTCTGTAAGTACCAAATTTTCCAAGTACTCTTTCCTCGTTATGTACCCTATAAATTCATTCTCATTTGTGTCTATAAAGCAAAAATGCCAACATTGGAAAAATAAGAAAATTAATAAAAATGAAAAGATTAATAATTACTGTAAAGAATAACTTTCTTTTTTTTTTTTTTTTTAAATCATTTCATCCCCAGCATGGCAATTAAGACACAAGGGGTTACTGAGTGTGAGAGAATACAAGAAAAAAACTCAAACCATACACTATAATGATCATAATATTCCTAAAGACAAATCTGATAATAATTGCCTATTAGGGAAAACAATCCGTCCAAGGTATGCGAGAACAAATCCTTCACAGGCTGCACTGTAATGTTAGGCACCAAATTTTAACATTCACATTTCTGTTTTAGAGTTATTGAGAAGATTAATATAGCAAATTCGTATCTGGCACAGGAAAGGCAGCTGGGTTTACTGCTTGTGTGACTAACTACCAACCACATCAACTGAGACGGCAAGTTTATCAAAAATAAAATGACTGCCAGATTAACAGATGAAATGTCAAGTGGCTTTACTTGGAGGAGCTCACAGTGATACGCACCATGTTTACATTGGCTGTAAGCATCTTTGGGAGCCAGAAGTAACAAACACTTCATCATGCCAGCTGACTTCTCCCTGCAGGGTCACAAGATTCAATGTCGTCACCAACATCAAAATGAGGAGACACTTTTGTCAGGCATCAGATTAAGTGAGTGTGCTTGTAGATGTTGCAACAGAACAGCTCCCCACCCCTCAACATGGCACACACAATCCAGAAAGAGCTGGCTAAGAATTCCTGCAATCACACAATTTCAATTTTCTTAACTATGACATCCTAGAGTGTCATGAAAGATTAAAATCAAGAGTCATGCATGCTTCAGAGGCCACATCAAGGTCATTTTTAAAATTGGAGGTGTCTTTAATGAATAGCCTTTTGATGTTTTTTCAGGCTGAATATACATACAATTTTTCTGGAAAATATATTCATGTTTTGCTATTTTTTTTTTAATCATTTCACTGCAAAGAAGGCAATAAAGCCACTAAGACAAGGGGTTACTGAGTGCAAAAGAATGAGAAAAATAAACTTTATTAAGGAGTGAGAATAAAAGAAGAGGAATCAAGAAGACAGTAAATAACGATTAATGTTGCATTTAAATTTTTGAAGATCAAAGTTGGCTGGAAAGTAAGAAGCCAAAAGAGTTCCACAGGTAAGAAGTGCAAGAGAAGAAACTATTAGCATAGAACTTATGGAAACCAAAGAAAACAGGCAGATTAATGTTGGGCCAGAAGAAAAGAAAAAATGTTCTTCAGGCAGGGGTTGAAAAGAAAGAAAAACAGAAAAATTTAAAGTTATCTTTCTAAATTATTTTGAAGGCAATAAAGCCACTAAGATTCAGGGGGGTTACTGAGAGTGAAGGTAACTGAGAAAACATTTAGTAGAAAGGCAAATAAAGAAACAGGATTCAAGCAGACAAGATGATTGAAATGAATTACAATATTTTTTCTATGTCATCTACATAGGTTTTTAATATCAATAAAATACTTGGTGCAGGGATTGAACCAAATAAAATATTTACGGAAAATGCAGAACAACAACATTCATAACAAGTTGTCTGATCGAAAGAATTTTAAATGCAGATTTATTGATTCATTTGGTTTTTTACAGCTTATCAACCTTTTTCAGGTTATTTAAAGCCAGAAAATATTTTAAAATGTAAGAAGTTTTGGGAGATAATAATAAATTACTGATACAAGACTTTTTAACCCATAAGTTGGGGAGAAGAGGCAGATTCATACATTTCCGTGTAAGTGAATATAAAGAACGTGACTGGAATTGGAACTCAGCTCTCCAATTTTCAATTCTGAGCTGTTATCCATTACACCATCTGCACATCCAAGCTTACATTATCTAGTATTCTCAAGCAGTCACCCATCTAGGTAGTGACCAGGTTTGATGTTGCTAAACTTTGGTGATTGTACAAGAACAAGTGTTTCAATGTGATATGACCATGAGCCATCCTATCTATCCATGATTACAGCACCTGGTCTTCCCAAGGAGTCGCCCATCTAGATACTGACCAGGTTTGACATTGTTTAACCTCTAAAAAATAAAATTGTCATCTTTATGGAATTTCTCCTCTAGATACATCAGACATTAAAATTTAAAGGCTGAGAATCCTTGTATCTTTAACATTTAGAAATAAACTATGCCTGGCATTTGTCATATTTCTTCTTCCACCTTTTTTACAGATGAAACTTCATTCCATCAATAAAATGGATATTAGTTTTACCGTGATAATCTGTAAGCCTTTTTAATTGTAGGAAATATTTTCTATTTGAAATGTTAAAGAATCCACATCAGAAGAGAACAGATACTTTCACTTACCAGCTTTCCAACAAGGATGCTTGTGGGGTCTGCTCTGTGCATTGTACCAGATAAGTTGTCGGCAGCCATCATAAGCCATGGAGTATTCATCATCACCAATTCCATAACCATCCTGAAAGATTACAATTTATAAGCATTACATTCTTAGATTTTTTTTTTTTTTGACCAAAAAACATTTTCTAGAATTTTTCTTTTTAAGTGAACAAATAAAATATGGAATTTCTTTAGTGTCCTTACAAACGTCATGACCACCTTGGAACACAGTGAACACAAATCACAAGATTATGAAATAAACTCAGATATTTTTGCTTGAAATGCATGGCGTTTTGTTTCTGCTTGAAATGCATGGTGTGCTGTTGATGATAAGCAAGACAAAAACCAATATCAGTATTTCTCTTATTTGCTTGCTTTCTGTTGACTTAAAATAATCACATTGCCTTTTAGCGTCAATCAGTTGAGAAATTTTAAGAAAAAGTTTGTTCAAAAGAAGCAGACTAACATATGCTCTAAAATGCAATCCTTAAAGGTCTACATTTATGAAAAGATACAGACTTTGTAATGTTTCTCTTGTGACATTACAAGCTGCAGTCTTTCAAAATTTAAAAGACAAGAGAAAAATGTTTGTTCTGAGAGTAAGAAAACTAGTATTTGTCATAATGGTGGAAAGTCATTTGTCACCTGAATTTAAACCTTCTAGGTTATTTGGGGGAAAGCTGCTAAAAAAATATAAAACTATGGTGTCTTACTCATGCCCATAATTCTTTAAAGATTTTATTTTCTGTCACCTCTGTCATGCCAATTTCACTTGCCCTATTTTTTAACACTGACCTTTATGACAAATATTCAGCAAATCAGTATTTTTTGACTGGCCATAGCTTTTTCAATCACTAAAAGATTTCTACACAATTTTCAATTTTTTACCAATTTACATTTTTATTTAGTTTTTTTTTCCTCTTAAATAAGGATCTGCCAATTGCAGGAAAAAATTTCTCTTTCTTCTATCCCATGTTTTATATCTGCATCGTGGGCCATTAGAAGCCATTATATATATATATATATAGACAAAGAGAGAATAGATAGATAAGAAAAATGTAGCTCTATGTCTAAATGGATAGAATTTCTTTTGTTTCATTGTAGTTGCTGTTTTGTGTTATGATACATTTAAATCTCCAACAAAAATGTCTCTTGAAACAAGAGCATGTCGTCTGATTGCTTGTTGGAATGTAAAGTGTGGACTTTAGTCAATATTTTTAATGTTGAGTTCTCATCTCTAAACAGATTTATTAGAAAGAAATTGGCATTTTTGAAAACAAATGTTAAAAATAAACAATGGGGTTTTTGTATTCTCTGAATGTCTGCCAAGAAGCATTAATTTTCCAACCGTGGAAGATTCTTTTTCACCAATTTTATTTTGTTTTGCCGTTGTCCGTGCTGGGCCAAATAGTATCCATCTTCCTGACTTTATCGTCTACCCTATCCTTCTACGGTTTGGAATCACCCTCACCCGGATGCTGTTTATTTAGAAAAGAAAAAAGGAAAACGTAGAACGAAAAAAAAAAAAAAATTTTGTCATCTTCCAATTTGAAAACAACAACAAAGTGGCCAAAATCTTAATATTTACTTGGGGGGAAGAAAGTTATGTGTGTGCGATTTCAGACATAACTAAAATATATATCTGTAAAAGGAGAATATGGATAAAGAGAAACTTAGGCAATACGTTCCATCCTCTGATGAACTTTAGTAAGGATTTTATTTTGCAAAAAGTATTTATAAATTTTCTTTTTGTCATATATATATATATATATATATATATATATATATATATATATATATATATATATATACACACACACACTGCCACTTACATTGTGCTTCATGATAATTCATCATAAAGTTAACCAGAGTTACTTCCCCTTAGCTTCCTGTTACACAAAACCGAATTTATTTTACTTGATGTTTTAGTACTCTTCAATTTAATCTATAAAGTCACAAAAATTCCTGTCTTTTTACAATCCAGAATGTTGTTAAAAATGTTAACTCCATGCCTGGTTTAAATTTACCATTTACTGAAAAAATAAAATAAATATAACAACGAGAAACTTTAATCCGAAAGCACTCCAATCGTATGTAAAAACAATATGGCTGACTGGATGGGATCACGAGCTGCTTTGAATTTTAGAACCAATACATTCATTACCATCACTAGAATATTATTATTACAATCTTGCAACCCAAACTTAATTGTTAGTAAATTCCCATGCTTATTAAATGTAGTATATTTGCTAGACAAAATTTTCTAGCAACAAATATGGTTTTTGGTATACCAACAATGAGAGATGATCTTTTTGCTTTTCTTAAAAACATTCCTTGTTCATCAATCATAAGATACAATTCCAAAACAACAAAGACATTTTCTTAACTAATTGTAACAGGCAAGAATTATTTACATTTTATCTTTCATGACATCAGGGAACTTACATGTGTAAAAAATTTCATTCTTTTCAAAACGTTTCCAATCATGGCATTTCAAGTATTCTTTTTTTTCTTTTTAACAGAAACAAAAATTAGGAAACATTGAAAAATTGCTTCCATGTTAGTTGTGAATCAGTTGAATGATGGTAAAAACTACAACATTAAAAAATACTTTATATAAACTTTTTAATTTTTATTAATTTGTATTAAATAAAACTATCATGATCAGTTATCAAACTACTATGGACCCAGAATGTTTGACAGTTCTATAAAAAGGTACTGAGAAGTTCTTAGCCCAACTAAGAAACCATAAAAAAATTCATCTCCTTTTAGAACAATTCATATTGTAAAACTTAGCTGCCAACCAAACAGTGTGGATATAGTGAAATTCAACACTAAATGCTGCTATCATTGTCACTGTACATCATTTGGATGAAAGCAAAGACGACAACATAAAAAGCCATACTCAAAAATTCTGGAATAAGCCAAAATATCCCCTGGAAACTAACAGAGGTTCTTCACACAGTAGCAGGCAACACACATAGGGTATCACTGCTTTTTCTAATATATTTGAACAAAGAATCGTCTACATTATAAGATTTCATCTCAAATTATCCAATAAATTAAATTTTTAACAAACAAATTTAAACATCTCCACTTATTTGGGTGGACTGGCTCATATGATTTAAAGAAACGCTACGTCACGTTGATAAAGGAAATCAGAGTTATCTCCCTTAGGTTTTAGCTAAAATCTAAACATGTCCTATAAAGAGGAAATTCTTTTATTCTTCGAGGTTACTCTTTTGTGCCAAACAAGTGCTGTCTGGAAGAGTTATGCCAGTGTGAATTTTCCAAACTTATAAAATAAGCATGTGAGTTCAAAGAAATATTTTGCCGAGAATTTTTATACACGTTTAATGTTTTATTGATCGATTTTCTATGGCTTATCAACCCTTTGCAGGTTATTTAAAGCCAGAAAATATTTTTTAAATTCTAAGAATTTTTATTTTTGAGATAATAATGGTTTAGTGATACAAGTTTTACTAATTAATCCATAGATGGGGAGGAAGAAGAATTAGATTCATACCTTTCTCAAGGGTATTTGGATGTAATTGAATATAAGAACTCAACGGGAATTGGAACTCTGATCTCCGATTAACAATTCCAAGACATTATCCATTACACCACATGCGCAACTAAGCACCTGGTATTCCCAAGCATTCACCCATCTAAGTACTGACCAGGCTTGATGTTGCTTAATTCTGGTGATTGTACAGGAACCAATGTTTCAATGTAATGTGGCCGTAAAGCTCTAAGTTAAATAAGTATGAGACAAAACAATCATGTTTGAGAGAAAATTATTTGAAAAATAAGTCAGTGTCAAAATATTACTGTGCTTTTCGAAACTTTTAAAAGAAACAATTTAATCATGGCAGCATTTTAATTTGGTACACAAGAGTCAGGATTTAATAAAAAGGACAATTCAAGTCAGCCAAAATATTGGAAACTGCACCCACTTAAAAAAAAAAAAAAAAAAATTTTTTTTTTTTTTTTTAATGTTTCAACCCAAGCAAGGCGGGAAGCCACTAGCACGCAAGGGGTTACAGAGAGTTGGATCTAGAGCAAATAGGAGTGATAGAGGAAAGGATGAAAAGAAGGATAGGGGAGAGATCAAGGCATCTGGAGATGTCAATTGACATTACATTTGAATAGTTGGAGATTATAGCTATCAGGGAAACAGGAAAAGGGGAGAGTTCCACAGGCGAAAAGTGCGAGATATGAAGCTATTGGAGTAGAAGAGAGGGCTACATTTCGACAGTGAAAGGGTGAGAGCAAGATGCCAGCCTAGTTGAACACTTAAATTCTTGAAGTCTGGGAACCAGTGAAAGCATCTCGTCGGAGCAGTTACCGTGAAAGTATTTGTAAAAAAAGACAGAGGGAGGCGATGGCACATCTGTGAGAGAGCGACTGCAGATGAGATGCCAGATCAGGGCCAATTACATTGCATATCCATCTCAGGGTTTTATCAAAGACCTTGAGACAAACAGAAGGGGCTCCGAACTACTACATGTGTGTGCAACAAATAAGAAAAGAGAAGCTTAACTAATTAGCCTAAAGAGAGAGAGAGAGAGAATGTAAAGCTTTTGTGTTAGTAGGCTAAGAGATTAACAGGTAAGGATTGCTATAAGTAAAAATGCAATGGTTCATCCAATAGGAGAGAGATAAGAAAGTCTCAAATATCCTAATGCAACAGTTATTTGTAATGATAATGCATCTCTATTTAAACAAGGATTTATAAACAAAAAACATAAATTTGTACTGTTTTTACCACACCCTGTTTTAGACGCTAGATAAATCTTATAAGAAGATACTTATGACGAGAGTGGATTTCACAGATTTTAGTAGAAAAGGTTTTGCATCATAAAGTCATTATTATTCATTTTGACTAATATTTCTTAAATTCATTTACTTACTTTTTATCACAGCTTTACTCAGTCTCTTGATCTATAGCAATGAGTGGTGGTCCCTGTGGCAGACGCCTGCTCAGGCACATTTATGTTTGTTCAAAATCCACTGCAATCATGCTAAGCAAACATTAGTTACAATTTCTGTAAATGAGTGCATTATCTGGCCTGATCAACAGTCTGAACAAGGTCAGTACACTCAAACCCTCGGCCACAATGACTCTTGACTTTGTGCTAGCAAATAGTTCCACCTACCAAATTTCTCTTACACGGTACTTATCTGACGTGACAGACTTATTTTTCAAATAATTTTCTCTATGGCATGATTTTATTCCATGCTTATTAAACTTAAAGCTTATGGACACAAACACCAGTTCCTGTACAATTACCGAAGTTAAGCAACATCTAGCATGGTCAATACCTAGATAGAAGACTGCTTTGGAATACCAAGAGCTGTAAGCTTGCTTGTGAGGATGGTGTAATGGATAATGGCTTGGAACTGTTAATCAAAGAGTCAAGTTTCATGGTATGGTTTTCAGGCACTTTCCACCCCCCTCCCCAGGCCGATGATACCAAGAAGCAACTTCTAGATTGATCAACCAGGATTAGATTTGAAACCGGGTCTCATTGTTGGAAAGATTCAAATTGACATTGCTTGCCTAAGGAAAGCTTGAACACCGATTGCTTCAATCAATGTAAACTTGACAGTTTTGCAGATCAAATCACTCGAAGTAACAACGTCTCAAGACATTTTGTTTTGGTTTTTACAGGAATTCTATTAGCAAGCAGCAATATTATTTTTTATAAATAAAATTGTGTATTTGTAGGACACACAATATTATCCAAAACAAAAAGTCAGTTAATTTATTGCCCCTGCCCTTATCCTCAAAAACTTCTAACACATTTACTTTACACACACACACACACACACACACACACACACACACACACACACACACTTGTGTTTTTCATTCTGACCTGAAGAACCCAAGACCAACATCAATGAAATGTATTTATAGCTTTTCCACTTTCTCTCATGATCTCCATTTAAAAGTTTAGATATTTTTTATTTATATGAAGCATATATCAACTGTGATTAATTTTAACTAGTATGTGCTAACATTTTCATAGTAGATGTATTATATATATATCTATCCCTATTCTGTCAGTAAAGCTTGCATTAATTCCTGACCACTGACAATCCTGTTCTGACTGATTTTCAATGCAGAATGAGTTGTGAAATTTTCCACGACAAATTAGAGGAAAAACTGCCAAATTCAAGAAACATCAAAATCCCACTTGACAGAGTGGATGCTTCTCTGGTGATTTTCAATTCCATGCTTGTTAATAATTGTCACACTTTCTTTACAGCCAAAGACAAAACATTCATCAGGCAAAGGGAATTATATAAGAAGGGGCTAAAAGGCATTCTTTCTAGGCTTGAAACATTGACTTCCAAAGTTCATATTTTGAAAGATTTTTTTTTTTTTTTTAATCATTTTACCCCAAGTAAGGCAACAAAGTGGGCAAAGGGTTTTTATTGCGTGATAGAGAATATGAGAAAAACAAAAAACACTAATAAGAAGTGTAAACAATAAAAGGACACAAATTAACCTCTAGAAATCTGCATTATTAATATTATTTCCTTTTATACTGCATTCTTTTTCAAGGCCTCTCAATTACAGTATCCTTATTGTTAATTTCACTCAAAGTTGTTTTCTGTTGGCATAGAAGGATATGACAACACAGCTATGAAATTCAAACACATTGTTCAGAGAACAGAGTGACTTTCAGTGGCAGGACTAACTTTTGTACGGCAAATAAAGTGTCATATATAGAATGATAAAGGTTAAGAAAAAATAGATAACAATTGACATTGCATTTAAATTTTTGAAGATCAAAGTTGACTGAGAAGCAAGAAGACAGAAGAGTTCCATAAGTGAGAAATTCAATAGAAGTAACTGTTAGCACAGACGGTTACATCAAACAATTTTGACTCTAAAATTAGAAGACCTAACTGCCAATCTAGTATTGCACCTAAATTCATAAAATCTAAGGGAAAGTTCATCAGAACAACTGCGATAAAAGTATTTATAGAAAGGCACAGGGAAACTACATCATGGTGATGGAAAAGTGACTGAAGTCAAGATGCCAGGTCAAGACCAATAATATTACAGATTCTTTGGATTTTATCAAGAATCTCTAAATATAAAACATGAGCACCAGACCAGATGTTGCAAAGCTGTAAAAGATCAAAAGATTAAATTAATGCAATATTCAATGCCTCTCTGCTTTTTCCGTTACACATGGAAATGTTAGCATCTTTTTTCTTCCTCTATATGCTCTTAGTATTGTATTTGGCACAGTATACATAACTATTATATAGAATCCTTCATATCTGCATCTTCCTTCAACATACAAGTGATCATGGCTCTTAACAGCTTCCTGCCTTCATGAAACCTTCCCTTTTGTTGTGCTTGTTTCTCCATTCATTTATACACTTGTTGTTAGATTATTCACAGCTTTCCTCAGCTTCACTTTCCTTCAAAGTATTGAATTCTCCAAGCCATTTTTCCTCATTGGGTCCCAGAAATTTCAGCTGTCTTCGTGTTGATAGTGGATTCAAAGAACTATTAAATAAGATAATTGAGGAAAGACAAAAGCAAAAAAAAAAAAAAAAAGGACTGACCATTTGTTACAAGATAGAATGCATAGTGTTGAGAAAAAAGGCAAGCAAAAATGTGAGATTACACATGGGAGAAATTCAACTATCTAGACAGAGGAAGGAAATGTGATACAGGAAATTTAATGCACATAAAAATAATGAAAGATTTTTTCAGAAACTAACTAAAGTACAAAAGGACCCCCCCCCCAAACAGAATTTTGGTTTGGTTTATTTTTACAGCATATCAATCTCAATGGGTTATTTAATGCCGACTAGATTTTTATTGCTGGTAATATGTTTTTCAAAAATGTATTGTTAGTAATAATTTTTTTTCTTAACATATTCATTGTTGGTAATAATTTTTTACAAAAATATATTGCTGGTATTAAAACCTATTTTTATACTTTTATAGTGTTCTGACCCCAGTTTGGGGTTCAACTATTTGCCCATAGCTGGGACCCTAACAGGAACTACCACCCCAAGTCAAGGTGGACCTGGGAACACCAGCAATTAAGAGGTTATTTCATGCTCCTCAAAACCTGATCAGAGACCTTGCTGTTGGATGTAGTTTATCATCTTAACCAGGATGCGGAAGTAGTTTATCGCCATACCCAGGATAGAAGAATTTTGGACTGTTAATTTTAAGATGAATGATATTGTATATGTAATTTGTTTTATATCCTGAGATTAGTAGTCTACTGTTCTCTATGTGACACTAGAGTAAGTAAGTCATTCCTATTTGACTAAAGAAAGTTCTAGGATGAAAAGAGAAAGAACCTTATTCAAAAGCATTACTCACCAGTTCTAAGAACTTCGAGTGTGAGCTACAAATTGAAGATATCAAAATCAATTAAGTAGGTAAATTTTGATATCTGGGAAGTGCTCTATTTACATTATTCGGACTATTGTCCTCATCTTTGTCACTGAATCTAACCAACGCCTTGACAGGACCCAAACAGTGTGAGTTCAATACCCGGTTAAGGCAGTAGATAACTTTCAGAGTTAACAGGAGATAACTGATAACCGACATCCATTAAACATGGCATGTGGAACTAGAACAGTCTACCCCAGTGAACGAAAAAGGATTCAGTTCGACATTCAAACCACCTGAAGAAGGCCAGAGTGTACAACAGCCGAAACTTTGTAATAAATATAGTGACGAAGATGAGGACAATAGTCCAAATAATGTAAATAGTGTACATAATACCTCATCTCAGAAATATAGACAGATCTGGGAAGTGTTTTAACAGATGACAAAAAATGTGGCACCAAAATTCAAGGACACATTGGGATTGTGAAAGAGCCCTCCAAAAGCTAAGCAAAGTATTAAAATATAGAAAAATGTCATTAGAAACCAAGAGTACTCAACTGTTATGTAATAATAGCAATCAATGATGGAGTATTTCCTCATAGATGAAGAGAAAAACTGGAGTCAACAGTGATTTGATTCTTCAGAAGGATGTTTGGATTTAAATTCAGAAAAAAGAGTTGAAGTTTTTCAGATTGTAAGAATAATCTTTTTTTCTTTTCTTTTGCAACTGAATATTTTGAGAATGTAAGTGAATGTGGACAAACCAACTGGAATTGGAACTTGGCTGTCTGATTTCTTATTTAGAATCAGTATCCATTACACCAGTCACACATAACTGAGCACATGGAGAGCAGAACTGAGAGTGGGAGGGTAAGGAAAAAAAAGAAAAAAAAAAATAATCTGTCAAATTCAGTGAAAAGTAAAATTGATTTTAAAATAGAGACATTTGACATATAGAGGGAAAAGAATGACATTGGTGAATATGGACAATGAATTTTTTATCAACTAAAAACAAAAAAAATATAACTCTCCCACCATATTTTTTTCAAGTCATGTTTTAATCAAATAATCTGACATTAAATCTTAATATTTTCAAAAATGTAAAATATTTCAGAATATATATAAACAAAAAAATATACTTACATGATTTAGGAACTTGCTGTTTTTAGTGGCCCAACCAATTTGCATAACACCAGCTGTTACTATGGATACCTCGTAATACCACACACCTGAGTCCACCTGGAATGTGCAACGCACACTTTCAAATGACGACGCATCACACCGTGCCTGGGGAATAATAAAATAAACAAGCCACAGTAAAGTCTTGTTTAGATTTGAACACAGAATTAGTTGATTCATTAATATGGGCCAATTTTTTTATAGACCCCAACCTCTCGAAAAAGATTATTAATATCTAATAAATCGGAATTTTCTGTCAGGTTTACAACTTCGCTAAAAAGCCTGAAATTGAACATTGACAATTTGTTTATCTCCATATTCTATAAGCTTCAATTTTCACAGCAATTTCATCAGGATTTTTTACCACATAAAAGTTATAATTTGAAGTACCCCTACCCTCAGACATGGTATTCAACTTGTTCAGAAATGTCTATCTCTTAAAAATAATCATTTTTTTCTGATCAATGATGAAAAATGACTTCAAGCAAATGAATTCTTTAAGTCTTAGAGAAAATCTTTCATCAAACCCAATAAACAGTATGTTTTGCTTCTCAGACTTTTCAGGGATTGGTGAGGTTAAAACATTTTAAGCCCAAGACCCAGGGGGCCTTTCCTCCAGGCTGTACCTCTCCTTTGGGAGGGAGGGTGTCTGAATTCATTGGCAGCTGCCTGTCATCCTCAAAAGTGGAAGTGCCAAGAAGCCTTGGGCAATTTTTCCACAACATTGCTGGTAAACACAATGTAACTTCAACCATGTGTTGCATTCAGTAGTGATGTTGATGCACTGAAAAATATCATCAAACCCTACAGATTGACACTGTAAAATTACAAGAGGCTTTAACAAATAGCAAAAAGCACATTACTTGAAAACTTTCAACAACAAAAATGGATAACATATACAACTAGAAGAGAATTGATTGATATATATTTTTTTACAGCTTATCAACCTTCTGTGGGTTATTTAAAGCCAAAACTTTTTGGATTGTAAGAATAATTCTCATTTTTTCTTTTTTTAAGTCAATATTGCATTAATAAATTTTTTAAGAACAACAATAATTTTTTCCAAATACAAGTCCTACTATTTAACCCATAGCTGAGGGAGGAGATTATCATAACTTTCCCAAGGATATTTGCATCTAAGTGAATATAATGAACCGAACTGAAATTCGAACTTGGCTACCCAATCTCTCCTAAGCCGCTATTCATTACACCACCCACACATCCACAACTAGAAGAGAAAAGGATGACATAATCAAGATGACTTTCTACATGACCAAAGACAAAAGGTTTGGAAAGAAATTCCCATCAATACCAGACAGATTATAAGTTAGTGAAAATAAGAAGTCCCATTTCTTGAAAAATTATTTTAAGAAAATGATTTTTATAAATTTCAACTGAGAGTAAGGTCAACTGTTTGATCAATGAATGCCAAACATTTCTGTGGCAAAAGAGAAAGTCACAGAAAAAAGGGCACATGTGTTCTGTACAATATGCCAAAGACAAATAACCAAAATAGAAATAAGTGAGTGGCAGCTGTTACCATAAATGCATCTTGGATATACTCATATTGTGTGTCCTCTCCCACCTATTGACCAATAAAAAAATTGTTCCACTGATAAAAGTGGTTGGTATCCTTGAATTAAAGTGTCATTTTATTTTGCTATCTCATCTGTCAAGCTTCCGTGTTGGATTTCTGACCATTTATGTGTATTGGAATTAGTGACATTGGACCTGAGATTCGTGATTTTAACATTTCTTTCTGTCCCCAGATCTTCAAGTTTGGATTTGTGATTTGTTTATTTCATTGAAGAATTGGGCTGCCATATCAGCTATTTGAACACATTGTTTGCAAGTAAAGAAACAAAAAAGTTTAAAGTTTTTTTGTTACAGTTTCATGTAAGGAAATGGTTAATTTTATCATTATCATAAAACAATGTAAAATAAAGAGTTTGAGGCAAGAACTAAATAGTTTACTTACCTCGAGGCCATCAGCAGATAACTTTAGATATTCACTGACATCATTACTGTTCAACATCACGTTCAGTCCATTAACATCAACACTTTCATAGCTAAACTTCCGACCCTGAAATAAAAGTTTGGGAATTTTTGGATTGTTTTTAACATCTTGGCAGATTAACCTTTATTCCTCATTTGGTGATAAATACAAAAAAAAAACATCAAAGATAGTAAACAAAGAAGAAAATGTATCCAAAATGATTCTTATTGATTGATTTGTTTTTTATGGCTTATCAACACTTTTGCAGGTTATTTAAAGCTAGAAAATAATTTTAGATCATAAGAATTTTGGGGAGATAATAATAACTTACTGATAATAATTAACCCATAGCTGGAGGGAGAGAGAGAGAGGAAATGGATTCATACCTTTCCTAAGGGTATTTTTGCGTGTAAGTGAATATGATGAAGCCAACTGGAACTCAGCTCTCTGTTTAACAATTCCGAGCTGTTACCCATTACACCACCTGCACATCCAAGCTTACAGCAACTGGTATTCCTAAGCAGTCACCCATCTAGGTACTGACCAGGCTTGACACTGCTTAACTTTGGTGATCATACAAGAACCAGTATTTCAATATGGCTGCAAGTCATACCCCTTGCACATTTAAGCTTACAGCACCTAGTATCACCAAGTAGTCTCCCCTCTAGGGATTGACCAGGCTCAATATTGCTTAACTTTGGTTATTGTATGAGAATAAGCCAATATTTCAACCAGTACAGAAATTCAATTGTCTTAAAGTGCTCTTTTTTTTCTTTTTTTTTTTTACATTAAAATTGTTAGAAATAGAGTTAAATTAAAGAGGAAACCAATGGAGAAAAAATACAATTAGACAGAAAAAAAGCAACTTGTAATATTAATTGAATTTATTAGACAAAACTTTGTCAATTATTAATTCTTGACTATTTTCTTTTTATTATTTTTTCTTTTTATTGCAGTCCTCAGAATCTCGTTCTAGGATTCTAAGCAGGCAACATGGATTGGAAATGTAGCCAGAGGTTCATTTTTTGATCTCCAGTCTACACTGCTTAATTAGGACCAGAGAATTGCAATAAAAAGCTAAAAAAAAAAAAAAAAATACAATGCTAATTTGTTTATAAAATTCAAATGTAGTTAAGTAAGAACTTACCTCCACGATGACTGTAGGCCATAAGATATGAAAATAAAATAAAAGAAAGTAATTATTACTTATAACCAATCAGCTTATAAAATACAGTACAGGTTGAGAATCCTTTATCTGAAATTCTTGAGACCGAAAGTGCTTTGGTTTTCAGATTTTTTTAAATTTTGGAATACAGACAATTTAATTTGTATATAGCATCTCTAAAATGGTGCAGCTTAGAAATGGAATCCAAGCATAAACACAATATCCCTTTACATTTTGTAACACAGCTTATACCCTGAAAGTAGTTTTACATAAAATTTTGTATACATATATGTAATGATGCTAGTTATGTAATACTCACACAGATTTTTAAGAAGTGAAATTAAGATTTAACATAAAAATAATGTTTGGTACTTTCTGTATGTGTACAAAAAAAACCTGATCACTACTTACAAAAAAATATATGAACGCAGGACTTTTTGACATTTTGAATAATATCTTTATGGAGCATGAAACACCTCACAAGTAATCCACACTTCTCATTTGGGGAACTTTTTTCCATCTTCTTGCTTACCAGTCAACATTGATCTTCAAAAATTTAAATGCAATGCCAATTGTTTTCTTCTTAATTCTTGTTCTTTTATTGTCCTCTCTTCTCAATAGTACTTTTTCTCATATTCTCTAACACTCAGTAACCTCTTGTGGCCTAGTGGCTTTATTGCCTTGCTTGGAGTGAAAATGATTAATACAAAAAAAAAACAAAAAACAAACATTTGAAAAATTTCCTTATACCCTTAGTTGGCTATTATAAATTTAATGTTTGAAGTCAGACTTCATAAACGACCTCTGGCAATCAACATGTTAAACAAGCAAAAAAGATTTTCAAAGTTAATTTTAATTTGAGCATCAATTATTTTAAAATTAATAGCTTTTAAAAAATATTATGCAAAAGTTTCTCTAATACAACATCGCTGTTGTTGCTTTTATCCATTTCATTAGTATAACAAAAGTTATCACCCTAGACATTTGTTTACTTTTATGAAGCGAATTTCACCAAAAAGGAGCAAAAGTTTCAGATTTCAGCTTGAAAACTTTCACCACATGAAGATTTATGTTTAGACTGACAGGTTGAAATATACACAAAGTATATATTTCTTGGTTTCAGTTTAAATATTGTTGGTGTTCTGTTTTTATTATTTTCCTAACTGTAACCTAATTTTGAACTCCTTACAATAGATTTAACCCGACAGAGGTCAAAATTTGTGAAACCATTTTAAAAGTTTATTTTTAGAACAAATTCTTACAGATGTTGGACTTAAATTTGTTTAAAGTAAACAAGTCCAAATATCTTTCTCTTTATAGCTCAAACAATTTCATTGGCTATTTTCAGAGTTTTCATAGTCAATATAACAGCCCTTCTCATTGGTTAACAAAACTGGATCACTAACTCCAAAATACTGGCCAAGAACACTGAAATATGAGGTTGACTCCAGAAGTATGTTGGTTCACAGCATAAGTAAATGTTCAAGGTATGGCAGAAGGTTACTTGAATCTGTGTGCCAATTACCTATCAGTTGTTTTTTCTTGTTACAGATAAAATCCTGATTATTATTCAAGCAAAACAGAATCCAACATGAAAGCACAAAACAGTGGTGTATTAGGAAATTCCTCCATATGGTAAAAAATTACCCACAGACATTCATCAATACTTTCTGAATGTTAAAGAACATCAAAACAGTCGGACAATGGGTATTACATTTTCATAGTGACATTAGCAATGTCTGTGATAAGCTAAATTATAGGCGGCTTGCACAACTATCAACCCACAAAATCAAGTCTTGTTTATCACTAGCAAAAATGCATAACCAATTGAGAAAATTTTTTTGTCACTGAAAACTTGCTCAATCCAATAGTGTCATTGTGCTCCCTGCATCTGTTGTAATTTCCATAGAAAGGGAGACATGACTTTTCAAATCATCCCTTTTATAAAGAAACTTCAGATCAAATGTCAACTACTACTTAACCCATAGCCTCCTGATGTTTAGTTTAAACTGATGACAAGTTAATAATTTCTAGTTTTTCTTTTCAGAAAAAATTAAATTTAATTAATATATTTGCAACATCTGTTCACATGGCAAACTTTTATGTCAACTGCTCGTTACTTATATCTGCTTAGTATTTACTATAATCTTCAAAAATTTATGTACAGTTTTAATCATCATCTTATATCTCTCTGAATCCTATTCTTTTATTGCACCCCCCCTTACGTCTTAGTGGATTTATTGCCCTGTTTGGAGTGAAATTCTTAAAAAAAATAAAAAAACTTTGTGTAACAAAGTAACAACTTTAATGGCATATTTTTGCAAAACGCATTACAGGAGAAAACTTACAAAGATTATCTAACAACCATTTTGCACAAAATCCAACCTCTTGCTTCTCAGCCTGTCGACTGCGGTACCATTTCTCCAAAGACATCAACAGATTCTCAGGATCAGATTGAAGAACTTTGTTTATTATGATTTTATTTTCACCTGAAAATTGAAAAAAAAAAAAAAAAAAAAAAAAAATTAATCCAATAGTAAAATAGATTCTGTAAAGGCACCATTAATAAGAGGGGAAAATTATCACCAAATATACAAAAAATAAGATATTCAATTTTTTTTCTTCAAGTCAAAGGTCTATTAATCTATCCTTATCTTCACTTTCTACAACCTCTTTCATTCATATCACACACTTCATTTATCATTATCATTTTAACAGTCATCCTCTACCTTGAGTGACTCTCAAACCTTGTACTGAGTGAATTCTAGCATAAGAACAAACTAGTCATTACAAATTCGTCAAGGTTAGAATTCTTGCTAGCAACTGCAAAATCCCAAGATTCTGATTGATTTGATTTGTTTGTTTAACAGCATATCAACTCCTTATGGGTCATTTAATGCCGAAATTTAATTTTCTTGGGAGCTTTGAAGTAATAAAAATATCATGTACATTATTCTGCTTTCACAAGTTGAATACATGGTAGATGATACTCAGATTTTGTACATGTACATGTTTGTGTGGACATAATTACTAGAGGCGATGATATGTGTATTTTATGTTGTAGTTTTGTTGAAGTTATATTTTGGAATAAAGTTTGATTTCTTTAAGAAATTGTACGATATTATATGTCATGAAAGAGTTCTTTTATGTTGGTTGGTTGGCTGATTTTGTTTAGTGGCATATCAACCTCTATCGGTATTTTATGCCAAAATTGAAATATTTTGAACTATTTTATGGCTTCAAGTAAATATATTTTGAACGCAATTGTATTCCATCAACTGCAAATAAAATGTATTGTTGGTCATTGTTATAAATAGGTATTTTTGGTCATATATATATATATATATATATATAGCTGGTATTTTTATACTTTCATAGTATTTTGTTTTTGTTTGCAAGTTCACCATTTACTCCAGGATAGACCTGGGAACAACAGCAATTACGAGGTGGTTCCTCAAAATCTCCAATCTCCTCACTGCAGGATTTATTTTATCGCCATACCCAGGACTGCCTAAAATTCTAAAACAAAAGATAATACAATTTTAACTGTCATTTTCAGAGTGGAAAGATTTTCTATTGGTGTACAGATCAAAGCAATTTGAAAACCAACTTTGGAGAAGAAATTACACTGAAAACTTAATTTTATATTTACTTTTCACTAATGAGTAAAAGATGACAAGTTATAACAACACAAGCAAAACAAAGTAAAAATAATTCAAATTTATCGCTTAAACTTGCAGACAAGAAAAAATAGATATAAACTTGTACATATCCCAAAAGCAAATGAAAGTTACTTTGCAAAAAACCTAATCTGAAAGTTTTAAACTGACCTTGCCAAATGAACACCAAATTTCTCTCAATTGACAACAGAAATAATAAACACTATTTATTAGATTGTTTATTGGAATGGTTGGCAAAACATTGGCTAATTGCCAATTGATTCAAACTTTGGAAAATGGTAAATAAGGATTTCCTTAGAGTTGGTTAACATACTTTAATAGTTTAGTAAATGTTTATAATTTTATCAATAAAATATTGTTTTTGTATTTATTTCTTTATAAATTGGTAAATGACAAATATTGCATTGTTTTAGTTTTAATTCTATCTGTTTTTAGAATTTTGTAAATATAAAATTATTCTTGTAAATAAACAATCTAATAGTGATTAAGATTTTTGTTGGAAATTCAAGAACAAAAAAAATAAAATATGTATAATTTCACTTTCATCATATGTTTAGGTTTTATTAAAATACTAATCATTGATTTTTTAAAACAAACATTGCCAAGGAGTGAAGGTAGTTAAAACAGCAGTGTCATGGGAAAAACCATCCTTTTGACACTCCATTTTTTGCAGGTATGTAGGTCCATATTTGCCAAAATTATTTGTCAAATTTGTATTTGGCAAGCATAAAGCTACTAATGTTGTTGCGACACCACACATTAGTAATTGTCTCAAGAAAATTACATTTTGGCATTAAATGACCCATAATAAATTGATATACTGTTAAACAAACAAATAACCTGTAAAGGGTCAATAAACCATAAAAAAAAACAAATCAATCAATTCTAGACTGACCTACTAAGGCTAAAGAGTTTAATCTGTCCTGTATTTGACAAATCAAGTTTTAAAAAGGAAAGAAAACTTTATCTTGTTGATTTCATATTATCCTATACCTGAGCAGATCATTAGGATAATGTGTGAAGACCATGATATTATTTATTGGAATAAGTATAAGCGACTTGATGGTGCCTCTCCAATTAACATGCTACAGATTATACTGCGTTACTTGGTAGGAGCAGCAAGGAATAATTCCTTGCTTCTTTGGGATTAGGAAAGACGTTCATGCCTTTCTCAAATGTATTAGTGTAAATTAGTCTACCTAAACTAGACTGTTCACCAATGTACATAAAATTAATTTGACCAAATTTAATTAGCCAAGAAAGATCCTAAAAGTTAACAAAGGCTAAAAAAAAATCCTAATTTATATAGACTAAGTATTCTTAAACTAAAAATAATCATCTATTATTATTAAGAAATTCAGACAAAAAGATCCCAGCCATCTTGGCAGAGAATACAAAAGAGAAGTTATATATATTGTCATGAAAGAAATAAAGTAGATTGACCTGGTTTGATGGCTAGAGAGAAAAAGAAGTATCAATAACTTCAAGTTTGGGGAATTTATCACAAAAAAAAAAAAAAAAATGCTTTTGTAGAGAGAGAGAGAGAGACAAAAAGAGAAAAGTGTTAATCTTAAAAATCTTTATTTACATTGTAGTATACCTAGTGTTACTGACTCTTAGGAAGTAGTATGTACTCAACTGCCTCATGGGTAATAGCTGTAGCTATTTATAGTCTTTGTGACATCATATTTAAATGAGTCACTTCATTTCCCTTTAACAAAGAGGTTTTATCCCCTTATTTTCCCTGATACTTCTTCTGGGAACTTTTGTCTCCTCAATATCATCCACCCTCTCCCTAAGAGATTATCTAGATATGGGAGATTGTGATCATCATCTTTTCTTTCATAGAAGTATACTGCCAACAATTTTTTTTTTTAGCTTTTTGATTCTAGCTTTAGCTACTAGTATCCTAAGACACGCTTGTGTGTATTCATAATTATCAAGTGAGAATTGTTTGTTTGGTTCATTAGATATCAGTGATGCCATTGTAATGTAGTATTATTGACTGAGAGGAAGTAGTATGCACTCAATTACCTCATGGGTAATAGCTGTAGCTATTTATAATCTTTGTGATTTCATATGTAAATTAGTGACCTCATACATAAATACAAACATGAATAATAAATGTTGCTCAAGTTTGGATAAAACTGAACCAAACCATTTTCTTTTTCTTATGTGCCATGTCCTTTCAGGACATGGGCAATCATGGCTCTCCACTCCTCCCTCTATCCCTTGCAGCTTTCAACAAATTCCTTCTCTCTGCTTCCTCCCCCAGACCACATTCTGTCATCCACTTTCTTAAGCCCACCAGGTATGTCACACATTGTTTTCCCTTGTCTCTCTTTACCTCTATTCGATCTGTGAGTATCTGTAAGTGATCTGGGATTGCAAAGGAAATGTTTGTCGCAGATTATTTCCATGTCGCTGAGAATAAATCACTAAGTTGAGATTCGAACATTGGGGACAGAAAGAAAATGCCGAAAACTCAATTTGCAAGTACTATTTTCACAAATCACAATGCATGCAACCAGTTAGAAAAATAACTCCCTCGCCAACCTATGTGTCAGCCAAAATTGCCAACTTTTTTCCCCTGGACACAATGAAGCAATGTGGCCTACATCTTGACACCAGAAGCAACGTATTGTTGTGCATGACCCGCGTGGCTGGCGGCCATCTTCTCGTCGAACCAGGCAGTCCCTGGCAAGGTGATTCCACCCAGAGCATCGATAACATCGCATACTCTCCCAACATTTAACATTTGGATGTTTATCAGCTTTGCCTGGTGAAATGGTAGCTGCAACCATTTCCTCAGTTGCAATTTGATCTTTCTTTATGGCCCGAGCTCGGTCCAACAGTTGGTTCGTATTCATGTCTACCATACTGGAAGACGCGCGCAGTAGTTGCTTGACGTGTGCTGGTAACCCTGCTATGAACCCACATGCTAATCCTTGCACCGATATCTCACCAAATAGACCAGCTAGCTTCTTCAAGTCAGCTAGAAACACATCAACAGACTCGTCTGGGTGTAGTCGGCGTTCCGCAAACTGCTCGTAAGCCAAGAAACAATCCAGTGCAAAGGCAATCTCGAGGGCTCATTTTATCTGCTCGACATCTGATTTTTGTTCTGAGTTTAACTGCTGGTAAACAGCAAATGCTCTGCCCGTCAACCTCAAAGGAAGAACATTTTCAACCTTTTTAATTCCACACAGTATCAGATTCTCCAGGCCCTCCTTCCTCATTATGTGTCCCAGAAACTTCAGCTGCCTCTTTCTGATGTTAATTATAAGCCTCCTCCTTGTTCACATTCTAAGACCTCATTGTTGCTCACACACTTGGCCCATGATATCCTTAGAATCCTTCTGCAGAACTACATCTCTGTTGCCTCGTGTCTCTTTTTCATCTTTGAGAAAATAATCCAACATTTACTGCCGTAAAGAACAGATGTCAAATAACAGCTCAGTATTCTTTTCTTTGTTACTAAAGAAATCCTCCTGTTTCTCAATACTCTGTCCAGCTTTTGGAATGTGTCCTTGGCCATCCCAATACATAAATGGATCTCAGCATCACACTTACCATCCTCTGTCAAGACACTTCCCAGATATTTAAACTTCTGCGTTTACTTGTTTCTAGTGTTCCTGACTTGCAAATCACATTTCGAGCTCTTCTTATTGATGACCATGCATTCTGTCTTCTTGTAGTTTATGCTTCGTCCTTTCTTCTCACTCTCCGTTGCTGTCTTCTGTAGGAGATTTTGTAATTTCTTTTCCATGTCTGCTATCAGTACTGTGTCATCTGCGTATCTTATGTTG